CAAAGTCAAGCGGTGGCTGAAAAGCCTAGGTATAATTATTAAGCCTTCAGCACTAGATATGCAAGCTTAAAACGGCGGCGCTGAACACTCAGGGGGCATAAACAAAGAAAAATCTCGTGTAATGCGTCTGGACGTAAACCTTCCATGGGAACTCTAGCCTAAAATCACAAGAGCTGGAGTGTATCTATACAATCGAACGCTAAACTACACGAATAACTAGAAAACACCATACGAGATATTCTTCACACGAGTATCACTCGCCAATAGGATCGTTACGTCTATTAAGAAACTAAACTTAGCCTACCTAAAGGCGTACGGATGCAAAGCATTCGCTATAATAGATAATACCCACCGTGGAAAATTGAGACTACAACGACTCGACCCTAAAGCATGGATCGGATACCTTATCGGATACCGGTCATTAAACATTTACCGAATATGGATACCAATGCTGGCCAAGGTCATTAGCACGCAAGACGTCGTATTTAATAAAAACATAATCTTCGACAGGAAGATAGAGGATCTAATGGACAACGTTATGCATAATACGCTGGCCGAGATAGCTACACATATTAAGATAATTAAGCTACCACCACCAGTGTACCAACCAGAAACCGAATTATTCTACGAAGACGATGTCGCAGAAAACGAATCACCTATAGAGGACGAAGTAGACCCACTAGGCTACTATTAAGGAAGGAAGATTAGAGATTACTACCCAACACCACCTTTAACTCCATTACCTGCAGCTCTGCTAGCACAGCTGATAATAGGGGAAAATATAAACCTACCCGAGATCACTTCATCTAAGATAGTCCCCTAGGCAGTAGCTTTCATGGCAGGAACGGAAGTAGGAAGGGTCGGAAAACACAATAGGAACACGATCAATAAAGCCTAGATGAAAAGACTACTAGTGAAGGGCGTTAAGATTTACTAATCATAGTTACCTCCGCCACCCACTTGTAAAACGGACCTTAACCAACATCTAATAGGAGAATTATTCCGGGAAGCGCAGTAATCGCATCTAGATAGTTATAGAATTACCCAATCCTAGATGGAAGTACCGTACAAGATAGTAAAGGCAATAGGCCAATAAATCCTAGACTGTATGTGGGTGTATATGTATAAGTTTAATAAACATCACCAGTTTATTAAGTGTAAAGCGCGACTGGTAGTTAGAGGAGACCAATAATGTAATATAACCTCCCAGGACACCTACGTAGTAATACTGGCTGGAAGATCCTTCCACTTACTTATGGTAATTACTGCCAAATATGACCTCGAACTTATATAATATAATATTACCAACGCGTTTATACACGTATTACTAGATTAAGAAGTCTACATGCGCATGCCGCCTAGATATTAAAAACTAGGTACTGTCCTTAAAGTCCAGAAGGCACTCTACGGACTGCAAATCTCACCACTTCTTTGGTAGAAAGAGTTCACAGCTACGCTTATTAAGTTTGGTTTCTAGACTGTGCCCCATGAGCCATACTGCATGATTAAGGATGGTATCATTATCTTCTTCTATGTAGACGACATCATCATTACGCACCACTGAGACAAAGCCGGTTAAGCTTAGTAAGTCGTAGAACAACTTAGGAAGAAATACTTAATAATAGGCAGAGAAGACCTACTATGGTTCCTAGGAATTAAAGTGATTAGAGATTAGTAGAACCGACTTATTTAACTCTCCTAGGCCGCATACTGTGATAAAATCAGTCGGCTGGTTGATGACTAAACAATCCGACATGACACCCTAATGGGCATAGGGGAGCTTAAGCCGAGAGAAGGGCTGGCTTCGCTTACAGAGATTAACAAATACCAACGTAAGATCGGATCACTCCTATACGCAGCTGTTAGTACCCGACTAGATATTGTATTCGCAACCTTAAGGCTGGCGAGATTCTTGTCAAATCCAGGTCCAGAACATCATCATACAGCTGACCGAGCCCTGCTATACCTCAACGAAATAAAGTGGAAGACACTTTAACTTGGAGGAGGCAAATCCTTATAGGTAGCAAGTGATGCCTCATTTACGGACAACACTCTAGACCGTAAGAGCTCATAAGGCTACGCTATCAAGCTGTTTAACGGCCTCATTGCATGGCGTGCAAGTAAATAAGACACTATCACTACGTCAACCATAGAAGCCGAACTCCTTGCTCTAGCGCAAGTCGCAAAGGAAGCCATCTTCACATCAAGATTGATAGAGGAACTGAAAGTTAAGCTACCCAGCCCTACTATTATAATCCAATATGACAACCAGCAAACTATTCGGCTGGTAACGCAGGAGATCTCGAAGCTGTATACGAAGCTTCAACACGTCAATATACATAACTACTGGCTCCAACAGGAAGTAACTAGGGGAAGGATAAAGGTGGAATACACTAAATCTGTAGAGATAATTGTAGACGGCTTAACCAAAGCACTCCTAGTAAATTAGTGGTAGAACTTCCTGAACCAACTGGGACTGGTGGAGGTAAGGGATTGAAAGGTAGCCAATGAAGCACCTTTAGAGGAGATTCAAGACTAGCTTGATAACCTCACCCTCGTCTAATAACCTTAGCCATGGCTCGAACGGCTCCAAGCTGAGGGGGTGTGTCAGATAAAAAGCATATCAAGTTTGGAGGATTAGGGGTAGCCCGAAAAAGGCCGGGGATTAACCGAGAACACACAGAACCTGCCAAGGGAACCCGGTAGATAGGCAGAATAACCTAATACATCAATTCAACCCCCCGAATCATTAGGACATCCATTAAGACGTAACATCTGACACATTTTATTATCTCCTTTCTAGTTATGCTAGCGGCGTATCTACTATAGTCTTAGAAGGCCATAGCCTATATAGGTGCCACTTTATTAATAGCTACTAGAAAGTCCTTTATAATTATATTTAGTTATATTACTTTAGTAACCCTATAGGTCTCCACTTCTATAGCTACCTAATTATATTTAGTAAGCTAGGTTTCCTATTAATTAATACTTCTTATTACTTTTAGAGCTATAAGATATCTATCTCTAGCGTGCTCTTATTTAAATTACTTATTAACGCTGATAGTGAGCTTAAGACTTATAACCCATTAGTAGAGTGGCTAATTAGGTAGGTAGTATATACGCTAGAGGTGTTTTACTACTATTAAATAGATAAATATAATAATATACTAGATGCTTATCTACTCCTTCTTATATTTATATTAATTACTCTTATACTATTTATAATAGATCTTATAGTACTTAAGGTCCTCCTTAAATGCCTTCTATCTAGCTATTAATAGCTTAGACTATTGCACTAGTATCTTAATATTGGCTACTAGGGCGTAGTTTATAATAACTAGTGCTTAGATAGCTACTAGTTACATAATTAGTGGAGTTACTAAATTAGGGTTAACCTTATCCTATAGGTTATATATAACGTAGCGTGCCTACAGCTATATATACTATCCTATAAAGTCGTTATAATTATAGAGCGTTATCTCTACGCACTAAGGGGTTAATTGGGCCGTCATGGTTAATTAGTATATTGGTTGAGGTAGTAAGACTCTTAATTATTAGATTTATATAGTGATTTAATAGATGTCGGTGATCTAGAGATGAGATGAATTAATTGATTATTATTATATACGTGTATTCTACCAGCTTTTATTAAGTTCCTATTAACTATCCCTTGCTTCGGGGC